TAAAAATTTTGTTTGTTAGAAAATAATAAATATTAATAACATACAAATTTAAACTACTAAAATACCCCCAACTTTCATTTACAATTTTTTATAAAATATCTAAAAAATAATTTAGTCTACTAAAATATTAATAATAAATTAAATATAAAAATATAAATTTTTATTTAAATATTTAATTAATTTGAGTGCAATATAAACACAAACATATAATATTAGCATAGGAAAACAACATATTACCTTTATGTGACATTTAACATTAGCCGACCCCAGCGACAAGCGCTTTGTGAAGTTGCTGATGTTGATTTTGTTGATAGCACCCATTTACAAATATGATAATTTCTGAAACGTAGACCTATTGTATGTAAGTGTTATGCATATGTATGTAATATATTCATTCATTCAGCGCCGCTACTTAGGCTATTTTGGGTGAGGCGCACCGCTGTCTGGAATGTTGATGCCGCCATTAATAGTGAAGAAACTAGATCAAGTTTTGAGACAAAAAGACGGAAAAGTATGATAATTTATTTTAGTAAACAAGGTAGATTTTGTAAGCGGTTACTACTAACATAAGTTAAAAATAAATGTTAACACCGCAACAAGAATTTAAATGCATTAATATATTAAGTTTCTTCAAAGGCACTCCCCTTGAACTTTATACTGAATTTTTAATTTAAGATTTTAAAAGCTTTTATTTAGTTAGACGCCAGCGGAAACATTTCTTATACCGCAATTTATTGATATGTATATTAAATTTTTTTTTAATTATCAACAAATATTCTTTGAAGGGCTAAATTATATGTACATATTTTTGCGCTTATTAGGGTTTAAGTTTTACAAACTCTCAGCTTGACATTTTTAAAGTATGGAAACTATATTTTATTTTAATTTAGCAAATAGGTAGGCACTCTGTTTCCGTTATTTTGATAGCCGATTTGAACTAGTCTCTGAGTTTTTGAGATAGCGATATGAAATTTTGCCTACGTCCTTTTCTCACCAAGAAGCTGCTCATATGTCGGTAAACGCTTTCTTTAGACGAGATATCACGAATTTGGCGAAAATAATGCAATCTCCGAAAAAATGTTTCAGATCGATTCACTAAAGCATATACGAACTGACCCACCGCAATCAAGTTCTGGTGATGAGCTTTATGTATTTGCAAAGGGTTATTTTAGCTTCAGTACAAACTAACTAAACAAAGCGACATTTCTAGGTTCCGAATTACTACATAAAATTTTGCTAATTTTCTTAAACAATTTTAATTTTATAAAATTTAATACTAAATCAAAGCAAATAAAAAATGTAATTGTCTACTAAACAAAGGGAGTAAAAACTAAATTTCACTTTTATCAAAAACGAACTTATAAAATAATTATTTATTATAAAAATATTATTTCTCGTAATTATTAAATAATTTCTTTTTTTAGATTTAGTTTTATGTTACAATCACACATACTTAAAACGCTACCCTACCAGCACAACAACAAACGCAGTAACGGTACACACTGCCTTCCAGATAATAATGAAAATCAGCGAAAACTTTATAAAAAACAAAATAAACTCTACACGTTTACCTAACTCAAAAAAAAGCAACAACAAATAAGTCCAGCAAAAACACTTGGCCACCTGTGAACAAAAGACTTAAGCGACATGCTCGCTGGTGCATTTGGGCAAAATTCAAAAAGCAAAAGTGACGACAAAAAAGCAACATTAAAAATACAAAAAAGCACTCATGGTTGTTGTGATTTCGCATTGCGTTTTCGCCTTCATTTAAGCGCATTTTCATTAATTTTAAGTACCTCCCCTCGAAGACACAAAACACCGAAACAGCAGACAGTGAATGGACAACGGGTTCAGCCAGCTAGCCAGCCATTGTGGTCGAGCGGTAAAGCAATACACATACACACATGCAGCTAACGCTACAGTAAATAAATAACAGTACTGTGTGTAGACTTACGAGAAAAGCAAAAACACAAACAACAACAGCAATAACCGCAATGAAAATGAAGCAACAAGAGCAAGAGCCATGCGCACAGCCAGCCGATCAGGCGAGCCAGCCAACCAACGCTGAGCAGAGTAAGTGGCGCACAACAATAATAGCAATAACAATAAAACAACAACAATAGCGTGCAAGTCAACGAAGCATACAAAGACAATGAACGAGTGAAAAATGCAGAAATAATAGCAGCGAGAGTAAAAAGGAGGCAACAAAAATAGCAAATGAAACAAAAACAAAAACAACAACAAAATGATTGCAATAACAATAACAATGGTGGTGTTGCATAGTTACTATAAAATGCGCTGGAGTTGCAGATATCACCACTATAAGCAACGGCATTAGTTGTATGGCAGCAAATAATAACAACAACAAAAGTGAATAAAAGTAAAAAAAGTAATTTATGCGGCAGAAAACCACCACCTTAACTGTTGCTATAATGTGCGCTCTCCAGCTGGCGGTTCGATCGACTTAACACTGGCAACATGTTGAACGCAACATGTTAGTTACAGAGGCTGTATGATGTTGCAGACACTAACATGCTGCTGTTTGATATTAGCTGGATCTCAAGTTGAGTCTAAAGCTAATGTTGAATTTTATTGATCTAACAAGAAATGTAAATCAGTGTGAGTTCTGAAGATTTTTCTGAAAAAAATCTAAAATATTCAAGATTTAATTGGCTACTCTCTGGAACTAAGTAACTAAAAGGTCTTCGGCGGTCTCAACAATCGGGAATAAAAAATAATAATTTAATTTTTAATTTTTTATTAATTAATTAAATAAAACTACTCTTAATAAAAAAACAGATCACAATAAAGCCTTTTTTTCTGAATTTTAAGGGGATATAACGCCTATAAGAACCTCTTAACGATATCTAGATATATAGGTGTCCTAATTAGAATTGCCCGAATAGGCGATCACGAAAACCATATTATCAAGAGGAACCTCGATTCTACTAAATCCACTAGTTCCTTCTTCGGTATTATCCATTATATTACAAACTTGGTGGCCCTGAAGATTGCAGCTATACCCATTTGATCAGGTATCCACATACTCTCTTGCACGAATTCAACTCGATAACGTTGTTGTTGCTTTTACATGTAATTTTTTTTGACAAGAGACAGCTAATCTAAGCAGCATCCGATTTTCAGGTATTTTGCAGTTGGTTCTAGATGAAGTTATTATGAAAAGTTCAGTTTGAATAAATGAGTAGGTGACTGTATGCATTATGTTTGTACACCTTTCGAAGACTGATTATGATTCCATCAATTTTGAACTTTTTTAATGTTCTAATATTACTAATGGCCAGTGAGGCCAAAATAGTCTTTATACATTTTTTTTCCATAGTAGTTTAATTGTTTTGAAAGGATAACGTAAAAATAAAAAACCTTATATAGTTCACTCGTTGAACCCTTGAACGATATCATTAAACTCTAAGCTGTCAAAAGCGCTTAACAGCTGTTATAACAGCAGCCCTCCAGCTACTGTTAGCGCACTGTTATCATGAACCAACCGGTAACAGAGCAACAATGCAAGGCAAAATTTTCACCTTCAAAACCAGCAAAGTCAATCAGCACCTTTAGTCTCACACAAACCGCTCACAATTTAAGATCGACGCGTGCTGCCCGGTCCCGGCTGCTCCTATTAGCCAGCCAATACAGCAAGCAAGCAACCAACAAAAGTGAACCACCCCAGCATGCCAGCAACGAACAGCTGCTACTGTTTGGCTGCCACAAGCGTACTCGTCGCAACGATCGTTGGTCGGTGGTGCACAGCGCACACACGACCACCAACCGCCGAGCCGTGTGTTTTCATTCGTCGCGTGTTGTCTGTTGACTCCGCGGCAGCCACCACCGCTGCTCGCTGCTTTCGCTAACTCGGTTAGCTGTTCGCCGGTTGTTCAAACTGTTTTTGTTGTTGTCGGCCCGTAAACAGGGCACATAGCGTGTGTTGGTTGCGCATGCGCGCCACCACCTCATCAGCATTAACGACAACAACAGCAACAGTAACTACGGCAAGCGAAAGAGCACTTCGTTGGCATAGAGTACGTACGCTGGTTGCTCGTTTAGTGGCGCGTTGACGCGTTCACTGTTTGTTCGCGCTTCTGCTCGCGTGCTCGTGCGAATCTACCATGTACGCTGGCGAATGTTTAACGCGTTGCGCATACATTTTGATCGCTCGCTCGTTCATCAACTAAGCGCAAATCACAGCCAATGCCGTCGCTGTTTTCTGCGTTCAATTTTATAGCAGTTTCGGTACGTCTGCGCCCCATACAATTGATTAATTGCCTGACTGTGTAGTATTTACCGTTCGGCCGGGTGAAAGTGAAATTCTAATTGTCATTTGCGCATGAATTCAGCGCAAAAGCTCGGCGCTTGCGGTAGTGTGTGTGACGTGCAAATATTCTGGCGCAAAGTGCTTGAGAATATATGTGCAATTAAAAGCACTTTAGTACACCTAAAGGAAATTACGTTAAATTGAAAAAAAATACTATAAAAAAGATATACAAAAATATGTAATTACAAAAAAAAAATACGAAACTATATATTTGACACGTTTTTCAAAATAAACATAAATAGAAAAGTGAAAACCGAAAAGAGTTTTTAAAGCTTAAAAAAAGCTATAACTAAATATTGTAATATTTTGTTAAAAGAATTTTATATATAAAAATTCTATTTGAAGGAAAAAGGAATATCGAAGAGAATTTATAAAGATATTAAAAAACGCCATAATTAACTATAGTATAATTTTGAACAAAAAACATATATATATTTGTAACAATTAAAGTGTATACTATATACGTTTAAACTGTAATATAATGAATCAATTAAGTAAAAATTATTTAATTAAATTAGAAATACAACAATATAAAATGTAAGACAAGCAGAGTCTCCACAAATGGGCTTTTAATATTCAAGCAGCAACAAATATTAAAAAAAAGTATAGAAAATTATTTTAAATCAACATGAAAACGTTGGAGGCTATTATATGAAAGAAAAAAATATGACAAAGTTTTCTGACTTCAAACTAATTTAAAAACAAAAATAAATATTATATTGTTACTTCATTAAATAAATAAAATAAATTCTAAAAAAAATATAAAAAGCAAAAAAAATTGTTTGACTTCAACTGCATTAAAAATTTTATATTAAATTCTGTTCTTGTATTATATATACAAATAATACAAAGAATGATAAACTAGTTTCAAATAAGTGGATATTTTTGCAAGTTTTAAAAAATATTGTGTTTTTTTTTCAAAAAGTGTTTCGGGAATAATTTCGTCATTTATGCGGCAGCAGTCAAACAGCTTTAGTCAATTTACAATAAAGAAAAGGTTAGTATAATTTGAATTTTTAAAAGCAATTTCCTGCAGCAAGGAAAATATTGCGCACTACACAAACCACCAGAAAATTTGGTTGTGTGTTAAATGTCATTTTTCCTTAAATTTGAGCAAAGATTACCGACGATAAAATTTTTTTTAAATATTAAAATATATAATCTTTCAAACGTTGCAGTTTGCTTTCCATGAGCCAGAAATAATATATAATAAAAAATATGTAATTGCATGCCATAAAGCCATTTTTGTGCTGATTGTGACCTTTTCATAATAAATAGATAATAGTTGATGATGTATGACTAAAATTTGTTTTGAAAACTTGGTATGTGTATTACTTAGCAACCTAAGGAAGTAAATGCTGCAGATGGACATAATCGGACTATTGCGATGCCCAAAAATACCCTTAATCATAAACCTAACAAGAAAACCCGTTAAGGTCGAAACTATAATACCCCTATCAGGTGTATTTTTATTACAAATAGCAATCTTTGTATTGATTTTGATTGGTCAGTTCGTATGGCAGCGCGCCACGCTGATCATTTGTATATATTTTATAGGATCTCCGCCGTTTTCTTCTGCATGTTACAAACTTCGTTACAAACCTCTGGTATCCTGTTGAGGGTATAAAAAGTGCCATAATTAGGACATAAATTGAATGTAGCTTCATAAATAAAAATCTTATATCTCAACTATTCAAACAATTTGACACAAATTGTTTATATATTATTCACTTCACACGCTTTTATAACAGTTTAGATTTACACGAAATAGAAGGATTTCTACTGCTTTTTTACATGTTGCAACTGACTTCTAAAAACAGGCGAAATTAGATCATAACTTTTCAAACGCATTAATTTTTAATCCCTCAATGCCTATGGCTGATTATATACCAAATATATTAGTAAATTTATAAATCTAACAGTTTATCTTTTTTTGATAATAATGTGACTCTGTGATACTAAAAATAGATAACATCAGTTCTATACCTGCCTTAGACAACAAATACATAATCTAAGAATTTTCGACTAAGTTAATTTTACACCGTATATATTATTCCATAACTACTGATATTCATAGAGCATATTTTCGTAATAATAATGTGGCTGCAGTTCAAAAGTGAATTATATTGGCTGAGTAACTATCCCGAATAGACGTAGGTTATGGGAAATACTGCAGTTGGGTACGAGAACGGGTGAATACAATCCATAAATTATTAAGCCCCATATTGGTCTTTAGGTATATTTGAATAAATCTGAAAATATTCCTCGCCTTTGATTTAGTTAAAGAAGACTGCTTTTTCAACTTGAAAATTATATACAAATTTTCAAATGAAGCAATGATTTTTATATTATTTCTTTAACCTTTCATCCATTGCAACTTTTCCCTTTTAAAAATAAGTACTTTATTTAAGTTTTTTTCTGAATTTTGAATTTTTAACCAATAGTGAATATTTACGCTATTGGTGAAATAAAAATTTTATAAAATCAGAAAGAAAGTTATTATATCTGAAAAAATTAGTAAACTTAATTTATGTTGATGTTAAAAAATTTTAATTTTGGTTCAAAATTGACATCAAAAAGTTTTGACTAATGTCATTTAGAAAACTTTTTAAAATATCATTTAATAAATTTTTAATTATATTTTTTTATCACTATTATTTACTTTTACATAAGAAAAAATATTTTATTTAAAATTTTTTCAAATAATATTTGTAAAAAACGTATATAAAAAAGTTTTTACACATGTCATTTACAAATGTCATTAAAAAAATTTTTAGTTTTGCTTTTTAAACATTATTTTTTTTACAAAAAAAAAACATAATTAACTGTTTTCAAATATTAAACTAATAAAAATATGCTTTATTATTAGTAAAACAAGCTTAATCAAACAAATTGTGATGTCTGCTTTTTTACTAAAACTTATTTTAAATCAAATTTGTATTTTATTTAAAATAATTTGTTTTCAAAATAATTATTTATTTAATTTTTTTATTAGTTCTTCAAAAATTTTGGATCTGATTTTTGAAAATATGTATTAAGTTTTCAAATTAATTGAAAAACCGCTTTTATTTTGTTTTTATTTATTTTTTCAAATTTCAAACTTATATAAGTAATGAAATTATCAATTAGTGTTTTTTTATTTCAATTTAATTCAAATCAGTAAAGCATGTGGTTTTATCAATTTTTCAAAATTTTTATTTTGATACCAAAACAAACATTTTTTAAATTTGCTTATTATTTTATTTAAAAAAATTTTTAAGTTTTGAAAACCGATTTAAAATTTTATATATATATTTTTTTTTAATTTAGAAGTTTGCTATATAATATTTCATACAAATTTTAAATATGCGAACTTATTATATTGCAGCTTCTATATAAAATGTTAGCTTTCTTTACAACTTGAAATTTTCATTACTTTTATTTAAGAAAAGTAAATATTTTTTTAAATAAAAATTCTTGCGTGCCTTACAATAGTACTTTGTCAACCTAAAGAAAGATGATTTTTAGCGACCACTTAAGCACTTCACATCGTTAAGTCCCATCTTAGTATAGCCCTCTGCATCTAAAAAGTTGCCACCCAAATCAAAGCAGCAATGCCACCAGCATATCTGCTTATCGCTTCTAATGGCCGCATGTGTCATCAACCCACAACATTAATATTTATGCATATCGCTAGCAATAAAATTTTGTTGCAAGTACCTGCCCACGAATTTAACTACTGCAGCGGCTTAAGGCAACCAAAGCAGCCACACCAGCAGAAAACAAAAACTTAAGTCTTAAGTAGCCACCTCGTGTTATGGGAAATTATTAAAAACAAGGGAAAAGCATATACATCTCAAGCGGGGCGCTGTGCGGCAAATGCCTAGTAGAAAGCGCACATTGCAACAAAGCAAGTACACAGAGGCGCACGACGCGCCAAAGACATTTCCTTGTACACACAACGAATTGTAGACGCACAGCGCATTGTTCTCCAGCCATCCGGTAGCAGACACAGTCATTTCCGTTAGCAAGTGCCAAGGCACTAAAATTCTCCACTTGAAAAGCAGAAATGCGCTCGATTTGCATGCCGCGCACGTCAACGCACTTCAGTCAAACCAACAAAATTACAACAACAAAACGAAAATAATATAATAATTGTCAACGAAAAATAAATAAATAAAAAGAAGGCAGACAACTGAATTATTTTGTTGCAACAACAAGTGGTCATTGGTTACTCTTGCCTCGACGACTTTTACTGCTTGTCTTTTTGCGTTACTTTACTGTACTTTTGTGGTGCTTTTACTGCAGTGTACAGACCCTTTTGTCGTCAGTGGCTTTGGCAGCACTTCTGTGTGGCAATAAAAATGCAGAAATGTAAATTAGGCGACTGCTGCTTGCTGCGGGTGTGCGACTTTTGTGGCAGACATTTTTACGCGTTTATTGTTATTATTGTTAGAGAAAAATGAGTTGCTCAATGCATCGTCGCTTATTAAGAAATATGTATATTCTGGTAGCACATCGGAAGTCTAGTGCAAAAACTTCATGTCTCATATGGATCTCTGTTGTTGAAATCTTCGGCGACTGTTAGGAGATCGGAGAGTTGTCCGAATGCGTCAGGTGACAAATAGATGAAGTTGAGATGTGCGCGGTCATCAATCGCTCAACCCATACTTTCTTTATGAAGTCTTAGGCCACCAGCAGGGTTGCAGTAGATCTGAGATTTTTTGTATTTTTTTCATCTTAAGTCCATCGAAAAACATTTGAAAATAAAGCTCAGTGTTGAATTTAATTTAATTTAAAATTAAATTGAATTTAATTCTTCTTTCCCAAAAGTAGCAGTAAAGCTATAATACCCTTCACGGGTGCATCTTTTATAGCACCAAAGAGTATAAAAAGATAGTTATCTTTATTTCGATCGTTCAGTTTGTGTGGCACCTATGTGCTAAAGTTATCCGATATCGACGGTTCCGATAAATAAGCTGCTCCTTTGGAAAAAAAAGATGTCTGCAAAAATTCTGATCGGTATCTCTCCACTCAGCTCGTCACGCTGAACATTTTTATATATAAAGTGTCTCCGCCGTATCCTTTGGGTATTACACACAACCTGGCAAACTTAATATACCCTGTTCAGAGTATAAAGATATTGCAGACATAACTCTTGGTAAGATTATCAGAGATTAATTGAACTACTGTAAGCAGCTTTATCTGAGTCACAGTCGTTAGAATATCGTCAATGTCTGATTTTCAGCAGCAATTCTGGTCAACGCTTTCTGCCTCATTTTGAATGCAAAATTTGTGTGCTTTAATTTTGCTTTGGAGTTTTATTGTAGTCTTTAATTTAATTTGGGAACCCCTGGTCTAAACTGTAGCACTTCGTGTTTCTGTTGAATTATTTGTGCGATCGTTTCTAAACCTTGGTAATTTGTGCTTCTTTATTGTTGTTGTAAAACTGAAAATCTTCAACAAATAATTTTATGAAGTGTTGCTGAGTTTACGGTCCTTGGCCGTACGAAATCCGAGACCGTTCCGGCTACGTAGACCCGACTATCGTGAAACGATATATGTCTCTTCTTCGTGGTAGATTAAATTGTATTAACAGACTCCAAAAAGAGATCTTTTTATGATCTCAAGATCAATTACCTTATACTTGTATCCAATTTCAGTATTTGGAGTTTATTTTCGGTTATAGGACTCCAGCGGAAATTAAACTACAAATACATCATAAAGGCTCATATTAATAGACCATTTTTGTGTACAAATCGATGGTTAGTAGGCGATTGTAGAAAGAAGATACTGTAGAACGGGTTGGCACCAGATTCCATTCTTTGGAAAATGTAATTCTTCAGGTAGGTAATAACGTTGGTAATAAGAGCAGACCATGTTTATAAAGATTGTATATAGACTCTATATTAAGGGCTATGAGGCCTCACAAATATTCAGTCAAACAATCTACCTTTCCTTCCACAAGTTACGATGCTTTCTCGGAGCGTAAGTTAAAATCTTAATAATACGCAAACC